TACTTCATGGTCAATGTCATGTATATATCAGCTAATTTTAACCGTCTGAGCCGATGTGGATTTACCTTCATTATAACATGGATGGATGTATAGTATAAACTTTTACGGGACATGACCGTCGAGAAATCACACTTTTCGACACAGCCCTTCAATGAAACACCATTGTCTAAAGCTGTTAATCCTATAACCAGCAGGACGGTGTCCGTTTTAGTATACTAGTGATCATCAATCTCATGTCTGTGATCTGTTTTTTTTTTGTTAATATTTTTCGAGAAAAAATCCAAATACCTAACACTCAATTTAGACATTCAGTTTTGTCGACTTTCCACGTGACCAAGAAAATGTTGAGGGAGGTATTTTGCTAAGACATGTTAGTATTGATCACGTGTAGCTGACTGACGGGGATCATTGCACGTGCATTTTTTTGACACATCTCACCTCGTTATCAGAAATTTTAATTTGAAAACTAAACACGGATAGTAGCAGCTTCTCTTCTTACACCAATCACGGTTACTTTTATTATGCGCGTATAATGTTTATTGATACAGTGACAAAAGTTGTGTTGTTTTCTGCCTATGTACACTTACTGTTGTCCAGCCAATTTTTAAACCAACACAAAATAAACTGTAGTCCATTCATAAGTTAGGGCACAGTCCCTCAACAATAGATGTGTTGAGGGACTGTGGTTAGGGGATATGTTCATGTATATTTACATTCGGAAATTTAGGTAAATTTGATTCTTTACCACGAAATGCAAGGCAAGAACCAACCTTTTACAAACTCGATAGGAAAGATTCAGCCTCAGGCATTACCTTCATCACGGTTACTAAATTTTTAGTAACCGTGCCTTCATGATCCAGGGAAGACTGACAACTGCTTTGTTTGACCATAGACCTTAGAAAACATGTTTTCTAAGGTCTATGGTTTGACTGCTATATCAAACCCCAGACAACTAATATTAGTTGTCTGAGATCAAACCATGAAGGTAGAAAAGATGGTCAAAACAAATATGACAAACTCAAAGCCTAACACTTCGCAACAACAACAGAAACGACTTTTGGTGTGTTTCTTTTTGATTCGATATATACATTGAAGCCATAAATTATTCCATATTGTTGCATTTTAATACATTATAATGTTATCCAAAAATTTACCAAATAAGTGGAAGAAAAGGCCGACGTTTCAATAAAAAGTCTCTTCAGATTGTAAACAACCCATGGCAAACTAGAGGGGGGCAAGGGTTATTTTCGTTCAACGTAATTGCAATATGTTTTTTGTTCGTACAACGTAAATTGAAAAATAAATTCCGTAATTCTGCAATCACAGGCTAGACGTACAACGTAATCAATCAAATATTTTTTTCGTACACTGTAAAAATGTGTCATTTTTCTCGGTACGTACAAGAATTTACATCAAAAAAAAAATCGTAAAGAATAATCCAGGGAAATTACATTTTAGAAACTGTAAAACGACTAGATGTAAATTGTAAAAATCCCTTTTTATTTCCCGTAAAACCGTACCAGCTACCCCCTTGCATCCCCTCTGATAAGTAACCAATGCGACAGTGTTTACCAGTACTCCTCAAATCTCAGACTACTGATAAAACATTATTTAATTATGATATATGATCTTTTGAAACTCACCAGCAGGCAGATCACTTGCTGTACTGTAACCATGGAGCTAGGCTGTCGACAGTCCTCGGGCCTGATGTAATTGTGTATCCTAGAAATACAAACGCCAAAGCATTTCACGCGAGGAACTTTAGACTTTCTGTCCCGGCGTTCGCAATTTATTCACACCTATTACGTTTATACGCAATATTTATTAATAATAACAACAGATTAATATTAGGTACGACCGACTGTCGATAGTCTAAAAAAAGGCAAAAACGAAATACTATACTGCGCAGTGAATGCGAAGTAGTACTACGCATGCGTCAGTGCACGGTTAGTTACTGTGGTCAGTGTTATTTTCAGCCTGCGATGCTTGTGACCAGGTTTGTGGGGGTGGGGTGGGGGTCAATTCATCCTAAATCACATTCGTCCCAAGTCGATTCGTCTCACAAGTTAATCGACTCGTGGGACGAATGTGAATTGGGACGAATCGACTCGTGGGACCAGGTAGATTAGATAGAGCACATATATCCCTGAAAAACAAGGCATTAAAAGGCTGCATCAAAAATAAACCAAATACTGGTACTCGTTTCGTTATTCCTTTGCTAATTCATCTAAAGATGTTTGATGCAGTAATTAAACCAGTCCTTTTGTACTGTACAGAAATTTGGGTTAAGTGACATAGTTAAACACACAAAGGATTTCTGCAACTTTGCAGCTTTGGTTTAAAAATACACAACTCAGGTACACAAACTTGGGTATCTAGTGGGATTCAAATACTGTAGAATACTTTATTTTTGCTTGGAATTAATTTTTGCTCGTAGGAATGTTTCAGTGAAAATAAAATCCAGCGAATATACCTTTTTTCCTATATTTTACATTCCACTTGTCAAAAATCAGTGAAAATAAATTCCATACAAAGCACCAAATTTTTTTTTTCAGCGAAAATCAATTCCATCTACAATAAAGTATTTTACATTATTTGATGTAAAGAATTTATGTACAACGACGACAAAAGCACAAACCATAAAAATAAACTGAGAACGTACAAAAAATTAAAAACAGATTTTTCATTAGAAGAAATACTTGCAAATAATAATAAAAAAAAAACTATATCGCTTTGCAGTGACCAAACTGAGGATAAGTGCCAATCACTTTCTGATTGAAATGGACAGATACAATAATGTATCAATTTCTGATAGAAAATGTTCAGTTTGAAAATTAAAAATGAGCAACAACTTCTTGCTGTCATGCCAGTTATGCGATAAAGAAAGAGAAAGTTTGTTCAAAAGGAACAACATCACTGTAAAGGGGTTGATTATTCACTGGGTTTTAATTTTGTTTATTTCGCTGACTGGAAAATGCACTAAATTTAAATCCAGTGAATAATATTTAGCATAGAACACATTATCTAAATGACAAAACCATGAATTTAAAACCCACTGAATATGCCTGAAATGGTAAATCAGCGAAATTTAAACCTAGTGAAAATTAGTAATTTTACAGTATCCATGACAACAAAAACAATGAACAGTTATTAATTAATATTCTAAACAATAAAGATAAAAACATTATAAATGATACGTGGCAAAACACATCTACCGGCATAACTGTTTTAGAAAGAAAATTTAATTAAAAGTGAAATTCTTGAAACTGCAGCTTCAGAAAATACAAATTAACCAATTTCTAGGAATTTGAGCGTCTTTTTTTCCCCCTGTATTTATTACTTTATTGTACCTTTCATCAAAACCTCATATACAATACAATAACGATACGATACCATACCATACGATACCGTACGGTACGGTACGATACCGCACCGTACGATACCGCACCGCACCGCACCGCACCGCAACGCACTGCACCACAACGCAACAAAACACAATGTATTTTATCTTGTTCTGCATGTAAAGGATTATATAAATTCATCTACTGTAAAATGCTTTATTTTAGCTGGAATTAATTTTTGATTAAATAGACATTTTTGGTGTTTTGTATAGATATTATTTTCACTGATTTTTGATAAGTTGAATGCAAAATATAAGAAAAACGGTATATTTTATTTTTACTGAATTATTCCTTCAGCGAAAATAGCGAAAATTAACTTCAAGCCAAAATAAAGTATTCTGCAGTAGTTGTTATACGTTTACAAGTGTATTTCCAAGGTATTTACCAACAACAGTCATGAATTAATATATTTTTTTTTTAACTCTGCAGGTAAAATGTGGACATGGAATTTCACAGAGAACATCTGAAGGAGTTTTGCCGACTCTGCCAGAACCAAAGATCATGCATTCCTGGGCGGTCACCAACTAATAAATTAACCAATGAAACGGCAATTTCAAGATTGCTAAACATTGATCTGAAAATAGATGATCCAGAAATCCACCCTCCATTCATCTGGTGTGGTGTAGCAAAAAACTAGATCGATGGAAATCAAAGACTCGAAGACTAAAAACAACAAAGTCACCTGTAAATATTGATATAGGATCATTTGGGAAACAAGGTGATGAACGCAAGATTTGATCCTGGAATACTCAATTGGTCACCATGGATAGTTTCCTCACATCAGTTGCATGTATTGGTAGGGATATGGGGTTCTCTGTTTTTGAAGAAAACGATTCAGCGCTGCATTAGGCATGGAGATAACTACAGATTTATCCAGCAGTGTGTAGAGATTAATCGTCATGAAACTTGGTCAGAAGAGGTGCATGGACGTACTGCAGCAGAGTGTCTTCTCCTGGTTTCAATTCCGAGCATTTTAGGTGCAGAGTCTCTGAAAGAACTTTTCCAGATAGTGTCAAATGCTACAGTATATGTGTTGGGAACAAGGGGTTTAGTGAACTTTGCGTTAAAAGGTCACCTCAGATCCTTCAGCCTGCCATTTTCAATGATACTAAATGAGATGTTATCGCTTATGAAGAGGTGAATACCAAATGTAGAGCAATCAGACAAATTAAATGTCAATTAATATCTGAATCAGATTGCTGTTTGGTATGTAGTCAGTACTGCTCTATACTGTTTACTTTGTCTAAAAGTGCCAGGAGCAACAAAGAACAAAGTTCATCATGTCGTAATGACCATCTCTCTATGGTGCTCCAAACCAAACGCACATCTGACAGAACGATGCAAAATATAAGAAAAACGGTATATTCACTGGATTTTATTTTTACTGAATTATTCCACCACCAAAAAAAAAATTTTGTCGACACAAATACAATTTCAGAAACCTCAGATAGGGACAACCATGTTTCATAAGGTGCTGGCAAATTTCTGCCCAATGTTTATCATTTTGTTGAAAACTTTCCTTCAGAAGATTGGGACAAAAAAAGTCGAATGTTTTGAGTAAAAAATAAAAATTGACTCAAATTTTGTCTGTTGGTTCCAAAATTATGGTTTCTTTCAAGAAATAATGAAAAATACAAGAAAAACAAATTTAAGGTTAGAAAGTTAATCAATCCAATTAAAATCCAATGAATTCTTGTTGAAAACAGTTTATTGTTCATTTTCTAATGATATCTTCAGTTCTTTATTTGAAAAGTGCATTGCTAACAGCAACGCTATCTCAGCCGAGAGGCTGCTTGTTTTCCTTCTGACTGCAAGTACAACGACAGTATATACTTGCATATTCAAAGCAAAATTCTAAATAAAGGAATAATTGTTGTATACTTTTAACGACTGGTGGTAGTTGCTTGGCATTCTGTTCGTGCAATGTATACACAAAATCAGAATGTGCTGCACAACGACCATTGCTTTTTACTTTTGTTGCACATTTTTAGTAATTAGAAATATTGAAAGGTTTCACTCTATTACATGTATTAAAAAAAATAATCATTGGTGCAAAATTTGCTAAATGTATGTAATATAGCATTGAATAATTATATAGAATCACAATTCATTGCAGAAAAGATAATATCTCCAGTTCTCCAAAGCCATCACTGGCTACTAGATCAAATAAGAATAGATTACAAACTGTTAACCCACAAAGTTATGAGCCAGTTATGGTACAGTTTGTGTTATTTATTCCTTCCTTTATTCCACCCATGGTATTCATAATGCATTTCTGGCATGAAAAATGACGATCAGCCATCTTGAATCACGTGTGTGTGCAAATATGTTACATGATCTCAGTCCAACCATGTCAACAATATGATTCTAAAAACAGCACTTGTTGAAATCAAAATGGCCATCAGACAGCCATTTTGAATCAAATCTTGGGAAAAAAATGAATGACATGTGTCCATGCACTGAGATCCAGTTTCGAAATGGCAGAAACGCTTGATTTTGATGAATTTTTAGCACTAAAATGGCCACCATTCGGCATCTTGGATCATGAAACGCATTTTAACGCACCACAGTCAATGAGATGTGCTCTAATGAAACTTGCATAATTGTGGTGTGTTTAGAAAAACAAAAAAACACTAGTTACTAGGTTCAAGTTTTATTTTGAAAAAACCTAATTTACATTTCAGCATGCTTATACCGACATGAAAAATGGCTACCATTAATGGCATAAATGAATACAGGAATAGAAACATTATCAACTGAATGCTACTTCTCTTAAACTTCCAAATGTGGCAGTTTATTAGAATTAATATCTCTGAGTATACTATAACTTATCACCATGAAGAAACGTACAGTAAACTGTTAATAACCATTTTCCCTCCCTTACAAGATTCTATGCTAAGCATGAAATTTAAGGTGAAAACATGACAAACAAAGATAACAATGTCTTAGTGACATCAAAACATTGCATGGGAATAATGTACTATGCACATTTAATGAGAAATTCAAGTTTGAAATCAAATTATTTAATATTTGTGCCAGACGTTTTGTCTGTGCCTTTTTACGCAATAGATGAGATCTTACAGTAAATGGAAATCACTTATTTAAGAACGGCCATTAATAAATAAACATTTGTTGTTATGTGAGCCGTCCACATACACATGCACAGTTCTGACGATAGCGTTACTCCGATTAAGGACCCTGGGGTTCAATAGTACTAGTATATTGTGATTTACCCTAAGTTTAGGTTATGGTAACCTGTTCATTTTAGAAAAGAAACATACTGTAAAACATGTCTTTTTAGCTAGCATGCCATGTTATTTTAACTAATTTAGTCAACACTTTAGCTAAATTAAGATTCTGTTAATTTATGCCAAAAGTCTGCTAAAATTGCATGCAGCTATTTCAACATGTTCTACAGTAGTTAAATTTGGGTACTTTGACTGAAAATATGACGATAACATCAAGAACACGAATGATCATAATGCCCAACATCAACCATATTATCATTGCATGCTTAACACATCGCCTGTCGACGTCATTTATTTCCACATTTATCGGAGGCTGCTTTCAGTAGGTAATGTGTCAATAAAATGTGTACATCGTCTATCCTTGCATAAATACTCCTAAAAAGTCAACGAACGTGCATCACCACATTGATCTGATAACTCCTGGAAGTTGATTAGCGTCTGCTAAAATACGCCACTGAATACGACTAAGACGCCATCGTCTTGATACTGCTTTAGGTCTTGAGGTGATGGCACACCGCTTAACTAGGCGTACTGGACAACTGTCTCTCGGTAACGCTGCAATCTCTTGATCCGCAATCTCCTGTAAAGTACAGATAAATGTATATAATCACTCACCATAGAAACAGTGATAACTATAAACTGTCTTATTTTCAATGCTATCACTTTGCATTGATTTTGAGGAAATTCATGACATTTCATAAAAGTCGCTGTAACTCCCTAGGACACCAGTGAAAGTCACTGTGACACCCTAGGACCCTAACAAAAGTCACTGACCCAAGGACCCCAGTGAAAGTTGATGCGACTCCCTAGGACCCTAGTGAAATTCACTGTGACTCCCTAGGAATCTAGTGAAAGTCGCTTTGAGTGACATTCAGTCAAATCATAAAATGCTCACTGCTACAATATACTAGTATTGCAGTTTTCCAACTCAGAACCAATATTTACATGAACTGAACTTACAACTGACATTTTCAAAGAATAACTCATAAATATTCAAATCATGCTTCCAAATATGAGCATTGTGACCATATTTAGTCATATCATGTCATATCAACCAAGGCGAGAAGAATGATAGCAACCTGATACCTATGCCACTAGATATTTATAACCTTACATGTGTTGAATGAAAATCTTTGGTTCTCAAGAAATTATTTTTCTGGTAAATGGTTCTCAAAAAATGAAATGCATGAGATTTCTTTTTCAGTGTGGGAATGAATGAGAATTTTAATTCTAATGAATTGATACCATACCATGTAAATATCGCATAAAAATATGATAACTGTGTCACTTTTATAGTACAGATTTCAGTTACCTTTAACATTTCACCTCTAAAAACACTCATTCTTGCCATAGAGTCTGTACTTCCAGCAAAATGATCTATAGAGGGCATACTTCTATTGTGTTGCATAGAGGGTATACTTCAAATAAAATGGGTTGGTGTGATATTATTTTTGAGAAATGTGTGATGACCAGACAAATGTTGGCCCTTACTGAAGCTGTTGTAAACTGCGTCTTTTACTTACTTGTAACTCTTTGGGTAAAATAGTATTTTTTCTCAGAGAGTTAAGTCGGACTCTTTGTGAAGCATATTGCTTAACCATTCTTCGTCTTTTAACATCTCGTAACATCCGCCAGTCAGCATAGTATGTTCTCACAGTCGTCTTGATTGGTGACGAGGGCACAAACTTCAACAGATTATTCAGACAAACCTGAATAAAAAAATTAAACATGAATGCCCAATGAATGAATGGAATGAATGAATGAATGATCACATTTGCTTATGATTTCTACACACATTATATATTTGCTTTTTCAGAGGTTGATTTTGCGAAATCTCCATTTTTTGAAACATAAATTTGGGTAATCTGAGTCGCACTCCTTTTCTCTATATTCCCTTATTCTCATACACACTGAGTACAAACATTGATTGATTGAATTTAAAGCGACAGAACTTCTCAAATTTCAGCTGATTTATGAATTGTATAAGTCCAGAATGAGATATTATTTCAGTTTGGTGATTTATGATTGCTGGTTTTTCACATGATCAAAATTCTCCAAAGTATACAAAATATACAAGTAAAGAATACGGAGTATGTTTAATAATTTTCGGCTATGCTTTGAATAACACAAGGAAGTGCAAGCATGGCACACATAGAACCTCTGATAAGTCAGGTAAACACCTGGACCTGCGTGATGGTGCAGTGGTGAGCAGGTTTGACTCGCACCAGTGGGGTCCTGGGATTGATTCTGATAAACAGCTTATTTGATCCTTTGAGGTTCAGTTACACCTGGTACACTGAGCATGTTTATTCGTATTACGTCCATTTCCGAAATAAACACTTGGCCTGGTTTACATGCTGTAAACACATTCACTTGTAAAGAAAAATAAAATTAGTGTACTTAGTATATTGGAAATTAGAAAACTACATGTAATGTTTTGATTGGTTACCCACTTTAATTAAAATCTGCCATTTTTAGCACTAAAATTATGCGAAATTGTGATGACAATAACTTGATGCATTAATTGACTCAATCAAAATTATGCAAATAAAGGAAAATATCAGCCGTTTATTAGCGATGAACATTCATGTGACAACCCTCACCTTATCTGTGATGTCATGCACGCAAACAGATGATTAGTTTAAATTTCTAATACTCATTTAATTCAACCAATCATGCACTTGGTCTCGTATTTCATCATTATCCTCAAAGTTTGTGTTACATCAGAGGTGTGGAAAAATGGTCTGAGGTACACTACACGTCAAAAGTATTGTTGAGATGCCCACGATTTGATCAATTGTATGTAGACGCACAATATAATAAATCTGACACTTCTAATGAACCATTGTCATTATTTTGCACCATCACTCAATTTTAACAGAGTTTTTGCACCGTTGTTTTGCTATGGCGTGTCATCTCATTAGCATAACATTTGCATAATAGTGTTCCATTGTTTAACCTTGTAACTTTCCCACCCATTTTATAAATATCCATTAGGGGTTGAAGAATATGGAATTTTCCCACTGGTCCAGGACTAGTGATAAGAAAATTGTCACTAGTCCGTGTAATAATTTCACTGGTCCTGAAATGATGTTTTAATATTATTTTTTTATTTTCTAACAGCATATTTCATTTTTAATACATATACATGTACATGAGTAAGTTACTTTTCTGATACAATCTCAGGTAATGGAGCATGTTCATCAGTTTTAGGTTGAGGTAACTTATGTTCTGATATATGCCTTGAAGTTGATGAAGATAACAACCATTCAACAATTGCTGGGTAAGGATTATAATCAGCTAAATCTGGACATAACAAATAATTGATTCTGAAAATTGTTATGATTTAGTCTAGTTCCGAGTTCAGTTTTTATAACATTCACTTTAGAAAAACCTCTCTCACAAGCACTAGTACTAGGTGATACTGTTAACATATATTCAAATAATTTCTTAACTGGTGCACTAATAACATCATTTGCACTCTGTAGAATTATTGAGTATACATCTAAAAGCGTCTGTGACCTGTGTGTTTTGCAATAAAACTTCAAATTTAACCAATCATTAATTATTGTCTCTCTTTCTGATTCACTGAAATATGATTTGACTACTGTATTGTTTATGAGTTCATTAATATCTTCATTGCCATATGTAGCCTATTCTTGTTTATCCATAGGACACTGATGAAAGTTCAGGCACAACAACTGTTTAAATGATGGTTCATTAAGTTCAATAAATCTGTTGTTTATATATTTAGTGGTTTTGTCAATCAGTTTTTCAAAAACTGGTGTATTATATTCAGCTGGTAATAAAATACCGTTAATTTCAATATCTTCAAATTTACGAGTTTCTGGTTCATAGCAGTCACTAAAATGCTTCATATTCGTACCAGGAACAGTTTTCAGAGCATTTAACTTTATAATAGTTTGCTCAATTTTATCAGGAAGTTCAATAACTAAT